TCTAACTACAGTACAAATCACAAAAACCAAAAAAATTCCATTCAATTATGGGGAATTTAGGGTTTGACTTTTCAACATTTACATTTTGTGGTTTTGGGTCCCTTAACTTTCAAAATTGAAGTTCTAGGTCACCAACAGCTTTCTTTGACCTAATTATTGATTAGAAGATTTAGATTGTAAAGAGTCACTATTGTAAAGAATACATTAGTATCCATCATTGAAAATTCATTGATAGTACATTTTTCCTATACATCCTCTACAATTATTATACATGATATATGATAATAAATAAGTACTCACATTACACGTCATGTGTTACATTTCATTCTAAATATTCAATAAATGAATAATATATCAATTCGATCTAGAAATTAATTTTAGGTCTAAAATTTTCACTTCTATTATTACTATTATTATTATTAAGATGAAAATAGGGTTTGAATCTTTAGCACAACTCATACGTTTGAAAGAAATTCAGAATTGAATATATGTATCTAGGGAGAATTTACTTTCAAGCGATTATTACCTAGATACATACGTCATGCTATTTCACAATTGAATCAATTTTTTTTTATTTAAAAAAAAAAAAAAAAAAAAAAAAAAAAAAAAAAAAAAAAAAGAAAAGAAAAGCCATTTTCTTCAAGGAAAACCAAGAATTTGTGATCGTGTGGGAGGAAATGAGAATTTCAATTGCTGAGAAAAAAATCCAATCAAACAATCAAAAAGTGGGAAAATGGAAAATAAATTCCATTTTTCATGGAATTGTCATCCTATCAAAAGGGGCCTAATTTTTTGATATGCAGTAAAAGTGTTAAAATTAACTATCACATTTTTAACATTTTATTCTAAAACCATTATAATAAACTTCATTTTTGTGCCTATAATGCTATGTGGCGATTATGTAGAAGATTGATTATGATATGAGTGACAGTTAAGTCAATTCAATCAGTTCGAGAGCGATAGGTGACGAAATGCGACATAGTGGTGAAATTCAAAATTAACTTGATGTGAACTGCCCTTGTTTGGTGTAGATTAAAATCGAATTTTTAGTAGATTTCAACAAAAATGTATAGTGAAAAGTTGTGGATTCTATGAAATATGTAATTAAAAGTAATAGCTAATTGACCTAAGATTTTAATTTGATTCTATTCCATTCTAAAGATGGCCTTAATCTAATTGAAACAAATTGGTACGATTTTTTCATTTTGTGTTTTGGGTCCGTCACTATCAGTTTGTGTGACAAAATTTTGATAAAAATTAAGAGAATTTTGATAAAAGTTAATGAAATATTTAGTGTGTTTGAATCTCATTAAAATGAGAATAGAATTTTTGGAATAATGATATATAAGAAAATGTGTGGTGGAAAAGTAATGAAAATTTGTAGATTTTTGTGTAATATTATTTTATTTGGAGAATGTGTGATTGAAATGAAAAAAAGAAAAAAAAAAAAGAAAATGAGAATAAGATTAAGGGTATTTTTGGTAAAAATTCTCATTTTCAACAGTAAATCAATTCTCATTTTCAACCACACATTCTTCAATAAAATAATATTTTTTATCACATCAATAATCTTATCTTCTTTTTCAACCACACATTTCCCATCATATCACTATTCAAAATCAATTCTTCCCCCAAAAAATCACTACCAAACACACACTAAAATGGGTGTCAAACATGGACTTAGTTTAAAAATTGGTAAAAGTTAAGAATTATTACAGGAAACGTGGGATTAAAATTAAAATTTATACTTTGTTTGATCCCATTTTTTCTCAAAATACATTGTTATCTCTTTTCTTTTCAAACAAAACATTTCACATAAAATAATATTACACACAACTCAAAAAAAAAAATTACTTTATTTTCAATCACACATTCTTTATCAATCTATTATTCTGAAATGCATTTTAAACAAAAAATGAGGCTCAAAATTATTAATTTTAGCAAAATTAAAATGTAGCCCTATTTGATGGAGACTAAAATTGATGAAATATTTGGTTGAAAAGTTGTGAATTTCATGAAATATATTATTAAAATTAATTGTTAATTGTTAATTTAAATAGAAATATAAATTTTAATTAGTACCGAATAGGGACTTAAATTAATTATAAAATTTTAGCAAAGTTTTATCAAATTTTGTTTATCAATACATTCAACCACTTTTTCCATGGGCTAACGGAGCTTGTCTTGTTCTCCAAGGTTCAAAGGTCGACTCGTTATAATACCGCCCACATATTTCTCATGGTAGTATTTGCCCAATAGGAACAGAGAAAATAACACAATCCCTCCCAAGATTCCTTCCATTTTTTTGCCTTTTTCTCTACAATTGATTTATTTGCTCTTTTTATTCAAAATATAATTTTCAGCAATAGATCGATTAATCATCATTTTAGTTTAAATAATTCTTTACAGTAATTCCAAGAATGATATTTTCAACAATCAGTCGTTCGTTATCTCGGTCTTCGCGTTCAAGTGTAAGATGCCATCTTTATCTCATTTCTCTGTTAATGTATGTAAAGAAGAATTTGCTATAGTTTAAGCTGATTTTTATTTTTCATGTTTTTGGTTTTCGATTGTGCAGAATGTGATAAATAGATTTAATAGCGGAAAGGCCTTGTTAAGGAATCAGGAATTTTTTGGAACTCCGTGTGTAAATAACTTTAAGAAAATCGATCAATTTGATGGAAAGTTAGGGTTTTTGAGGGGTTATTCTGCTGCAATAGGAGCCAATAAAGGGTCATTTTCTAATAATCATTTACCAGATTTGAATTATATTGTTGCAAACGCCAGACTCCGTAGATATTTCTCGAGTGAAGCTCCAAAGAAGAAAAGTAAGGGCATCCCTTTTTTGTTTCTTACATCTTTTTCCCCTAGAAAATGTGGGTGCTAAAGGTTGAACCTTTTTTATATGTTGGTGCATTTTTATTGACAGATTATGAAAACTTTTACCCCAAAGAGAAGAAGGAAATTCCGAAACAAAAAGAACAGAAATCTGAGTCCAAAGGTTGACGAGTCTCTTCTCCCTCATTTCGTACTTCATTAATTCTACTAGAATTAAATAGTCTGTGCACAGGGTAAACATTTTTAGTTAAGCATTATTGTTATGCTGAGATTGCTTTACTCTTATAATTAGAGCTTCTTAAGGACAATGCAAGACATGTCCCAACCACGTAATTGTGCAACCTTTAGACTAGTTTATTCTCAATTAGTATTACGTCTCTCGTTGGTTTATTTTGTCATTTCTCATCTCTTCTATTCTAGTATGACTGCACATCCATCTTAATATTCTGGTTTTCACGCTAATTCACTTTTGTCCTTTAAGAGACCAACAACAAGTGATGTAAAGTATAACAAATATAGTGAATGTCTTATAGAACAGATCTTTTAACCATATTTAGATCTTCCTATCATATAGAATTTCAATGACATATCTCCATCTAAAGAACTACTACTTGGGACATAATGACCCATGAGAGCAATTTCAACTGTTCAACACTATCCTAATTTCTATTAGCACTAAAGTAACGTTGTACATAGTCCATCTTAGTTCTACTTAAAACTAAAACCTTTATACTGTAAAATATTTGTCTAAAGTTTTAACCTACTATTTTACCCTCTTGAAGTCTCGTATAGTAAAGCTATGCTATCAATAAATTACATATACCAAGAAGTTTAATCTTCTATATGTCTTGCAATCTCATTTATGATTAGAACAGAATTATAAACTTAAAGCAGATCCTTGACGCTGCCTTGATACGAGCTTACACCATGAAATTCTAATGCTACAACCACTCCATCTTACACTCATGACTGCTCCATTGCACATATCCTTAATGAATATTTATATATCTAATAGTATTTCTTTTTCTAAAGCCCACCGTAGAACTTCTCTAGAGTCTACACAACCTATCATATGCTTATTCCCTTTTTTTTTTGAATGATAAAAACCATGTGCAGAATCCTGTTTCTTTTCTCTAGCTCTCTCCATCATTTTCCTGAGGAGACATGCCTTCTGTAGTAGATTTCAGTGGCATAATGTCACATTAATTCTACGATACCTACACAATCAAAACACTTGAAATAGTTAGTACTTATTATGGCGGTTAATTCATCAAATCTCAAGTAATTAATGTTGCAGAAATTCATCGAGCAAATCTTGTTCAAGTTTTTTCCCAATTATTAGACATTTTGGTGCAGCCTGCTGATCAGTAATTGATTTTTAAAGTAACCATGTCTTGTTGGAAAGTGGATGTGATTTACGATTTGCATTATCTAGAAAGTGTTGTTATACGTTGACTCATGAATGTTTCTTGTCTTACATTTTGTTTCTACAGTTCCACTCGGGGCATCACAATGTTATTAAGGTTTAGGCTTGATTTACCATTATAATATAACAATTGAAGATTAAAAACTTAACTATTGCAAGGTTCATTGTTATACGCGTAGATGGTCTCAAAGTTCTATGAAAGACATTGTGTATGCTAATTTTGTATTTTTCTCCTAATTCTACTTCTTCAATCTCAGAGGAAGCAAATTCAAATGACCGTAGCAATTTTTCGGAAACTTTTATGAAGAATTTGCAAAATATCATTGCTCCATTCCTGGTCATTGGGTTTATCTTGTCAGCAATTTCATCTACTCCCCATGAAGAGAAACAGGTAAACTGTGTACCTTTATGCAAATTTCTGAACAAGGTTTAGTTAATTTATTTAATGTTCTTGGCAGACTTCCTAAGTCTCACGATTTCATATTATTAGTTGTCTGTTAAAGGACAAAATGTCTTAAGATGAGTGCAACATAAATGAGTATGTTAAAATGGATGTACGGTTATGTAAGAATGAAATTATAGGAAATTGTATATACGCTCGCTAACAAGCAGATATGGTATAGGTTGAGGATAAATATAGTGTAGGGCGAACTTAGGTGGTTGGGACATGTCTTGTGAAAGTTGAAGCTCCCCTAATGTCAGTGCTATCTCATTATAAGATGTTAAAAGAGGGAGGGGGTGAAGCAAAATTAATATGGCTTGTTGTGGTTGCTAAGGATAATAGTTATTTTAGATCTTTCACCAGATGTAGCAGTAAAATAAAAGAAGCAACGAAAAATGATTCATGTAGGCAACTCCAAATTTATTTCAAAAACAATTTAGTTTTTTATTGTCCAAGTCCTGTGACTTCTAAATGAAAATCTCATCAGCTTGAGATGGGTCTAGCAATTTGTTTTCCCCTTCAGGCTTGTCTATTGTCCTGCTGTTGAACGTTGTCCAGTCATCTGTTTTGTATTTGCCACATCCATGGCAATTTTTCCATGCCGTCTTGTTGATTTTAGCTTCAGGTTAATAACCTCTAACGTTATTCTTTCTATGGCTAATGTTCCCAATAGCCTTCATTATCACTTCCGTTTTCTTTATTCGAAAAATCATCCAGGCTACAGGTACTTAGTTTGTTGTTCTTCATCAATGTTGTAGTAAGACATTTGTTATAGCGTGTCTTCTCTTTTACCTGTTCGTTTTCCTCTATAGTTTCATCTCAAACATATTAATCTGTTCGATTCTACACTGAACCTTTAAAATATTTCTTGTTCATTGTTTTCGGTTCCTTTTCTGACTCTGCCTTCTGTTGCATTCTAATGTATAACTGAGCTAACAAATCAATATAGTCACTATTTAGTTTCCTGTATCCATGACCTGTTTCTCATATTAATTTGTTAAGCCTTTGAGGCCCACTGCCAATGGCCACAACCACTGAGGGATTTTGGAAGAATAAGTCATGCAACCTTGCCCACTTGCAGTGAGGCTAAAGCTTTGAGAAACACTCTAGTGAATTTCATACACTTGCTGTATTCACGCGATCCTGAATTCAGACAAGGGAAAAAGAACTATAATAAATTGTGTTTGTATTATAATGGTAAGGTCAAGACTTCACAAAAAGACTGGTAAGCAAGACTCTTATGTAGCGAAAGTGGATGAATCTGATATTCTGAACTTGCTTTTCTTTCAATTAATTCTTGTGAATCATTCCAGAACCAAATCTCTTGCTGAATAGTCCTTTCACTTTCAAAGACTGTATAAAAAAATATGCATAGATTGACATGAACTTGTAATGCATGCTGAAAGGTTTAAAATATTCAAAATTACTGTAAAAAAGAAGCTCAAATGGTTATGGTAATTACTTGAATGTGTACTATAGTTACCTACATTTTGTGAGTTAAGGGGTTCAGGTAGCTTAGCTTTTACCAGAACTTAGAAATCATAGTATTATACCTAATTGCTCTTGTCAATCATTAGACTTTAGCACCCTCCATCACGAAAACTTATTGCCATTTTAATTTTCTATGCAGGCTTTAAGCTGCTTATTAGCTTTTGTAAATTCTGTGAAATTTTTAACTGTTTGATCCCTGGAGATTATCTCATTTGTTATATTATAGCTGGAAGTATATATATGAAACAGAAAAGGAAGATAAATAATCCCATGGTAAGAATAGGATAGTTGCATATCGTTGTTCCATACCCGTGTGATTTTTTTTAGTTTGTAAGTAATATTAGTGTATATTACTACTGTCTTTAGTTTATTGCAATTGACTTTTGTAATTGAGTCTTCTTAACTTTATTTTTGTCCTTTTATGGTAATCGGTAAATATCACCGCTGCAGATTAGTTTTCAAGAGTTCAAGAACAAGCTTCTCGAACCTGGTTTAGTAGATCATGTAGTGGTTTCTAATAAATCAGTTGCCAAAGTATATGTAAGAAGCTCACCACGGAACCAAAGTAGCCATGATGCCACTGAAGTCTCAGAGATTGAAGGGCCAATTAATGGTACCACTTCCAGAGAGAACACAAGCCAGTATAAGTATTATTTTAATATTGGAAGTGTTGATTCTTTTGAAGAAAAATTGGAGGAAGCCCAGGAAGCATTGGGGATAGATCCCCATGATTATGTTCCCGTTACCTATGTTTCTGAAATGGTCTGGTTCCAAGAATTGATGAGATTTGCCCCTACAATATTGTTGTTGGGATCACTTTTCTACATGGGGCGGAGAATGCAAGGTGGACTAGGTGTTGGAGGTCCTGGTGGAAAGGGTGGGCGTGGTATATTTAACATTGGAAAAGCGCATGTTACAAAGGTGGATAAGAATTCGAAAAACAAGGTTAGTCTTTCACGTTGTTTTGGCATTAAAATGATGCCACTGATTTTCTTTGGAATTGCTTAATACTTTTCTGTAGACCTCTGGACCCACTGTTGTTAGAATAAATGTCTTAGATTTTTTACTTGGCCTTCTCTTTTGTCTAGGTTTATTTCAAAGATGTTGCTGGCTGTGATGAAGCAAAGCAGGAAATCATGGAGTTCGTTCACTTCTTAAAGAATCCTAAGAAATATGAGGAGCTTGGAGCAAAAATTCCGAAAGGTGCTCTTTTAGTTGGCCCTCCAGGGACGGGTAAAACTCTTCTGGCAAAAGCAACGGCTGGTGAATCTGGTGTTCCTTTTCTGTCTATATCTGGTTCCGATTTCATGGAGATGTTTGTTGGTGTTGGGCCTTCAAGAGTTAGAAACTTGTTTCAGGAGGCTAGGCAGTGTTCACCTAGCATTATATTCATTGATGAGATTGACGCAATTGGTCGAGCCAGGGGACGTGGGGGTTTGTCTGGTTCTAATGATGAGCGGGAAAGTACTCTTAACCAGTTGCTTGTAGAAATGGATGGATTTGGAACCACATCAGGAGTTGTTGTTCTTGCTGGCACAAATAGACCTGATATTTTAGACAAAGCCTTGTTGAGACCTGGTCGATTTGACCGTCAGATAAGCATAGATAAACCCGATATCAAAGGGCGTGATCAGATATTTCAGATCTATTTGAAGAAGATCAAACTTGATCATGAACCTTCATATTATTCTCAGAGACTTGCAGCCCTCACTCCTGGATTTGCTGGGGCAGATATTGCAAATGTTTGTAATGAAGCTGCTTTAATTGCTGCCAGGGTTGAGGAAACACAGGTGAAAATGGAACACTTTGATGCAGCTATAGACAGGATCATTGGTGGTCTCGAGAAGAAAAACAAGGTACTTAATTCCTGAATTGGCTTATAGGGGCATTGGATAAAATGCTCCTGTATCTACCTACTTCTTTCCAGGCGAATGATTAGTTAAAAAATCATTGCTAGTATTTTTTCGAATTATTGCAAAATGCTCTCTCTTTGATGTTCAAATCTATGTTTAATTGTATAATTTCCGCGTTCTCATTTGATAGCCTAAACCATTAGATGACTGAATAACGATATAGATGAAGAGTTTCTGATTACTGTTACACTATTATTTAGAGGCCTTAGAACTATGTAGATAAATGGACAAGTCAGCAAGCTCCATCTTTCAATGAAATGTCATTTCCTTAAAAGTAGCCATTAGTTTCCTTAAACAATGTAATTCGCTGATAACATATAGAGCCTCAATTCTGGTAAGTACACGTGGAAAGTTCCAACCTTCGTCGAAGTCTTCCAAGTTAGATGACAGAGGTAGTTTTAGAATAGAAACTAAAGTGAGGCCATTATAAATAAGGCCCTTCTCATTTCCTCTCTCCAACTTGGTCCTTAAAACATATTCCTCTAGAATATCTACAAATGCATGATTCAAATGCGAATTTGACGGTTTCCCCATCTTTTCTATTCTCTTTGCCTTTTTAAAGGGAGTTGTTTTCCTGAATTTAGTTGCAATATGTATCCAGAAACATCTATAAATTTCTCTTTATGTACGTGACTAGATTAAGGTATGGACTTGAAATATCCTAAGTCATCTTGCGTTGACACATCTTGTAGTTCAAATTACTCTTTAACTCCCTATTTTCCTGAACAGGTAATAAGCAAACTTGAACGCCGAACTGTAGCCTATCATGAATCAGGTCATGCTGTTGCTGGATGGTTTCTAGAGCATGCAGAACCCTTGTTGAAGGTGACGATCGTTCCTCGTGGCACTGCAGCACTTGGCTTTGCACAATATGTACCTAATGAGAACCTTCTCATGACGAAGGAGCAGCTTTTGGATATGACATGCATGACCCTTGGTGGACGTGCTGCTGAACAGGTCACTACATTATTTTTTTTATTTTTTTCAGAGTTTTTAATTCAGAAAACGTAGATGTCAAGATGGTTAATTACCATATAATTCTTTGGCCTCAAAATATTTTCATGATTTCTACATACTCTTTCGTCTCTATACCTAAATTCACCCCCACCAGAAAACTTGCCTAATTTTTTAATTGATACAAATTGAACTTGATAGAACTAGAAGTAAACATCTTTGTCACCATAATTATGACCAATTCACTTTGAGGTTGGCTTTTTCTTTGATGTTCAGGTTTTATTGGGGAAGATTTCAACTGGAGCCCAGAATGACTTGGAGAAAGTGACAAAAATAACATACGCTCAAGTTGCAGTGTACGGTTTCAGTGAGAAGGTAGGTCTGCTCTCTTATCCTCAGAGGGAAGATGGGCTTGAAATGAGCAAACCTTACAGTAGCAAGACAGCTAATCTTATTGACACTGAAGTACGCGAATGGGTTACCAAGGCATATAAACGCACAGTGGAATTGATAGAAGAACGCAAAGAGCAAGTGGCTCAGATTGCTGAGTTGCTTCTGGATAAGGAAACTCTCCACCAAGATGATTTGGTCCAAGTACTGGGTGAACGGCCTTTCAAATCAAGTGAGATGACGAATTATGATAGATATAAGAAAGGATTTGAAGAGGAAGTGGATAAAAGTGCAGACAATGTGGAGGAGACGACAACAGAGGATGATGGATCTTCACCTCTTGTGCCCGAGGTAGTTCCCACGTAATATACTGGATGGTTTATTTCTATTTTAAATGGAAAAAAATTTACTTCTTTTCCTCCAGCTGAGCTGTACAATCGGATACTGATGGTTAACTGAAATATTTCTTCAAAAGATATATACAGGAGAGCAAATGTCTTTCTAACTGCTACACTGCAGAAATCTGCTAGGATTGTTCTCGAATAATGTTTACAGAATGTAACCTCGGATGAGGACATGGAGACATTAGGTTTTCATTATACGATATTGCTGTTACAGTGTGTAAGGATTACCGATAAAATCAAGATTGACGTACATATTGACTGTGATTGATACAGTTCTTGGTTTTGTATATGCATTCACTTTATTTTGGTTGACAAACTCTCGCGTTGATTTTATTTTCTAGCTTGGCTAAGATGATCGATCTCAATCCTAACTTGGAACATATTTTTGTGAGAAGAAATTCACAGTTTCGATAATGGTCGAATATCCCCTCGAGCATTTTTCAAGACCTAAGAAAATGAGTTGTCAGAGTAAAATAAAAATAAAAAAGATAATAGTAAAAAAAGAAAATTGAGGTCAATTGGCCTGTTCTTAGCTTGTTTAAAGAATTTTCATTTTTCCGTTATTACGTACAATCAAACTAATTTTTGGATTGATTCTCGAAAAAAATATTAGAGTGTGTTTGATGCATAGTTATTAAACTCTGACCGGACTGGCCGATTCGGACTTGAAACTGCCGACCCGGACCATGGTTCGGTCCGGATGCATTAAATTATCAAGTAAGCACATGAACCGGTTGAACCACTAATTAACCGTCCAAACCGGACGGTTTTAAGTGGAACCGGATCCGGTTCAATGTGTGAACCAGACAGTTACCTAATTGAAGTAAAATTTTATGCTAAATGTGATGGAGTTAGGAATCAAACCTTGGACAATGAAGGGAAATTTTCAACTCCACAATTACTATGGCAGCCAATGGTTTTTTGTCCATTAATGTGAGTAAAACATATATATATATTATATTTTGGAAAATGGTTTCCTTTTATTTCAAAAATACAATTTAATTAAAATTAAAATCAAGCAATGACCCATTTGGACAATGAAGGGAAATTTTCAACTCCACAATTACTATGGCAGCCAATGGTTTTTTGTCCATTAATGTGAGTAAAACATATATATATTATATTTTGGAAAGTGGTTTCCTTTTATTTCAAAAATACAATTTAATTAAAATTAAAATCAAGCAATGACCCACCGGTTGAACCGTTGACCCACCGGTTGAACCACTCACCCGTTGACCCGATGATTTTTCGGGGTCAATCACCAGGTCGGGTTTAATAACTATGGTTTGATGCATATTAAAATGGAAAAAATTCATTTTTTTTTGTGATGTGATGGTGAATATGTGGTTGCAAAAGAAGAAAAAATTATTGATGTGATGGAAAATATTATTTTATTGAAAAATGTGTGTTCAAAAATGAGTAGATGAATGAGAACGTGGCTCAAACAGGGGCTTAGTAAGAATTGAAAAAAAGAAAATTGAGGTCAATTGGCCGGATCTTAGCTTGTTTCGATTATTGCGTACAATCAAACTAATTTTTTGATTGATTCTGGAATTTTCAGTTCGACGTTTAGAACATTATTTTTGGAGAGAATATCGTAAACTCCTTGTGAGTTATCCCTTTTGTCTTTTCAAAAGTCATAGAAAATCTTCTTTCTCACAAAGTGCATTATCAAAATGCATTATAAAAATTGAATGAGTTCATAAGCAATTAAATCGCAACCTTTTTGTTAATTATTTAATATGAGCATGTGAATAGAATTAAGACAGACCAAACCCTGTGGTGGTAGTAAAGGAGGGTTGGCGTGGGCGCTTGTGTTGACCTAATCTTACGCGGCAAATCTCATTAAAAATTCTAGAAGCGCCTACAACAAATAATGTGATTGCTTATGCATAAAATTTGATTTTACTGTTATATAAATTGGTGTAAAATATCTAAAGAATTGGATATCGTGACTCATAATTTACTGTATATTCTGCTTGAGTAGGTGTGACAATTGAGCTAAGTCATCGATAAATTATACTGTACAATCTGAAAAGATCATAGCATGCCAATAAATACAGTCATATAAATTTATGGGAAATTACAAAAAATCAGTTGTTTAAAAATTGGTTTTAAAAAATCAGGTATTATATTAAAACAACCCTAATTCATAACCTAATTCTCTCATCCCTTCCCCACTATCTCTCTCTCTCACGCCTCCTTCCCCCTACCCCTCTCTCCCTCCTTCCCCTACTCCTCTCCCTCGCCTCTCCATGCCGGCAGCGTTGCGATGATACTGCTCAGTTTGAGACAACGTCGCGACGCTACCACGAACTACAGCAGCGTCGCGACGCCGTTCGCTCAGCAGAGTCGACGCTGTCGAGAATTGCAGCAAGGGGCAGCGTCGCGTGAGCGGTGGCGTGGTGGTGTTTTGTGCACAGCAGGGTGGTTGGTGGTGGTGTTGATAGTCATCCGACGGCGTTGGTGGTGTTTTATGTGGTTGGTTGCGACAGTGGTGGTTTTGAGGCGGTGGTGATTTTTTTCTATAGGAACTTGAGGCGGCGCGGTGGTTTTGTTGGACTGATGGTGGCTAAAATTTTTGTTGATGGTGACGGCAGAGGTGGTTGATCTGACAGTTTGGGTGATTTTTGTTAAATCTGGCAGTGGATTTGAAAGTAGCAGTGGTGGTTTGTAGTTACAAATGGTGATTTGTTGGTGGTGGTGGTGATGTGGTGTCGATGGTGGTGGCAACGGTGATGGAGATGGTGGTGGATCTCGCGGCTGCGAAGACGGGTGGAAGTGGTGGCGGTGACAGTAGTGTTGATGATGGTGGTGTGTGACCACTTGACCAATTACTTGGTTATCTGTGACTTAGATTAAACTGTGACTTTAAAATTTGATAACATGTGACTTGACAAGTAATTTGTGACTAACAAATCTTGAAATCTGTGACCAATAGATAAATTGTAACTTGTAATTTTTTTGATTTGTGACCAATAAAATTTTAATATGTGATCTCGAAATAATCTGACTTATAAAAAATTTGATAATATGTGACCAGTAAATAAATTGTGACCTATATTTTTGTATATGTGACCATTATTATATTTAATTAATAATATAAATACCTGAATTTTGAATTTTCAAACTATAAACATGATTTGTGAATTTGCGTAAATTATACACCTGATTTATGATTTTTTTTCCCTCAATTTATAAGTTGTATATGGCTCAGAGCGTAGGCCCATTGGCTTGCCGGCCTTGACATAGGGTTATACTAATCTCGTTATATATTATTGCGTGTGTATATATAATCGATGTTCATCTTATTTTAAGTATCAATGACATGTCATGTCATCTCATTGATAGATAAATTTATGGCATGAAGATTTAGATTAATTTTGATATCCACAAATGAATTGATGTATAGAAAGTGTAGATATATAAAAAGGGTCTTTATCCAAGTATATATTTTCCTCTAAAGTTAAACACCATGAACTACAAGCTTAAAAATTAAAGCTTGGTTTGACTTGTTTTACGTCGTACCTAACCTAGATCATGATACTTCGAATTTTAACGGTCTAATACATTTCTGTACTAATCTGATTATACCAAGTTTGTTCAACCCTAATCGTCTTATTCATGTTTAAATTATATTTTTATTTTTTACTTAATTTTATATATCACAAGTTCAACATTTTCATATATGACATTTTAGATTTTTCAATGTTGAAGTGTATGCATTTTTATTTTATCTTTATATAGCATAGTAGTGTTAGCACTGACATATAGCGTCAATAAATCTCATTGACCAATAAATCAATGAATCGAAATAAATTTCATTGAATAAGATACGACCTAGACTTGTGGTTATGATATTTACTATGTGTTCAAGCATCCTTGAGAGAGAGTTGGAAAAATAAAAGAATTTGAATAATGCTATTCATCCTGACTAGAATTGAGCCACAGTCTATGTAGAAATTATACGATATTAAATGATAGATTTAAGTCGCTCATTACAGCAATCGCCCTATATGACACACATATGACATGTAATTATTTGATACATTAATGTGGTATTTTTTTTTACCACATTAATGCATTAAATACACACTTGACATGTGTGTATCATATAGGGCGACTGCTGCAGTGAACAACTGCAAATAACATTATTCATTAAATAAGTCATGTGATTTTTTATTTAAATGAATATAACATTTAATGTCATGTAATTGTTACATAAACTGATGCTCAATCCAATGGGGATAAATAACATTACTACTATAATTTGGGTATGGTGTGACAATTCTAGGCTCGACACCCAATGAGGAATTCTCAAGTTTCTAGTAACTTTCGGTCTTTAAGCCTTTTAAATAAATTAAATAAAAGCCAAAAGAAAAATGTTCCACGGCTTCTTTTTTTTCTGCACCCTCTCCCTATTTAAAGCTGCCCCATCCATTTATCTACCTACTTTTCCCTGTCTCTATTTTCCTCGCACGCGTTAGTTTCTTCCCCTGCATACAATTTTTTCTTACACATTACGTCATTGGGATCTGGTAATGTTGCTTCCTCGTTTTGCTAAATTTGGGTAACTTTCTTTTCAAATTTGTTTGGATCGAACAACGTTTTTTCTTGGTGGATAAACATCTATTTTTGTATGAGTTATGATTGTTACAGTTTTAGCCTTTTAGGGTCTTGCGTTTTCGTCTTCCATTTTGCTGCGTTTGATGGGGGAGCATCTAGATACCCACATTAATGTGGAAAATTTCTGGGTTTTTGAACTTTCAATCGTGTGTTTTCATGTGAAAAAGTTGTGGATTTATTTCAATGCTTTAGGCATTTTACCCTTGCTTTCTGATCTCTTTTCCTCATTTATGTTTATCCATATTCATCTGTTAAACTTTTTCTGCAGATGACTTATCTAATTGTATCACTTAATCGCGAAGTCATCATTTGAGCAAATAGTTTAATCCTTTCTAGTTAAACATTTGAATAGAAGCATCAATTTGTAAATTGTATATATACCACAGTTTTGTCTGTGAAACATTGAGATTCTTTCTATAAGTAGTATTTACTTAAATTTGGCTGCCTTTCAGATTTCATATTGTTCTTAGATTGAAATGGAGCAAGTTTTGAATTCAAAATACGAGTGTCTTCTTTTTGGTGAGTCTTTATTTATAAAGTTTATTCTTCCCTGAAATACGGCAATTATTGGCAAGTATCTTACCATTGGTTATCTTTTGTTAGATGTTGATGATACCCTATATCCTCTAAGTTCCGGTGTCTCTGCGGAGTGTACCAAAAACATCATGGGTATGGATTGTAAATTTTTATCATACTATGTAAATTACAATATTTTTACCATCAAAAGATTGAATGAATATTCATTGGATGCATGTATGTAGAATATATGATTAACAAACTCGGCATAGAGGAGACGAGAGTTCCAGAAATGTGTACTGAACTGTACAAGGAATATGGAACAACAATGGCTGGTCTAAGGGTATGCATTGATCCTTCACTATGACTTTATTAACAACAGGATATACTTATTTTTATGGTAGAAAAAAGAAACGAAAATTGAACTCACGGAATTTATGAGTTTGAACTTCATCAATTAACGTTTTTTTCCCTTTTAGGCCAAGGGGTATGACTTTGATTACGATGATTACCACAGGTACCAGATTTTTTTCTTTTTTCCATCTACATGTCATTTTCTTGTCTCTGTTTAACGGATCTAACCTCTAATTTCTTGTTGACAGCTTCGTACATGGGAGGTTACCTTACGGGTGGCTAAAAACTGACCATACTTTAAGGAATCTTTTACGCAGCCTGCCTTTTCGGAAAGTTGTGAGTTCCTCTTTTCTGACTTGTAGAAGCTAAATGTCTTAAGATTGAATATTCTGTGCCTTTGACAATGTCTTTGGATCCATCTTTTTAAACAGATATTCTCAAATGGAAATGAAGCCCATGTGGCTAAAGTTCTTAGCAGACTCGGATTAGAGGACTGCTTTGATGACATTATTTGTTTCGAGACATTGAATCCTATTCACAGGGACAATGTACAACCTGAAAATGATTTTGATGGTGAGTTTAAAAGATCAACAATTAGTACACTGTTTGCCGTTTTAATTTCATGAGTTCACTTATTGCTTCATGATTTCGGTGTTCTTCCAGAAGTTCCTAAGGCACCAATTGTGTGCAAGCCATTTGGAAATGCCTTTGAACAAGCTTTTGAGATTGCCAAAATCGAACCTAGGAAAACGGTAAGAAGTTTGGCCTTTTACTACCCAAATGGTAACGATGAGCAACACAGTAGTTGTACTATTATACATATTCTGATATGATCTACCATTATAAATGATATCGTGGCTAAAATTTCTTTGCTAAGTTCAATTTATCACCTTCATATTTGTTCTGATTATCTATTTCTTTCTCCAGCTGTTCTTCGATGATTCAATCCGTAACCTACAGACTGCAAACAGCATGGGGCTTCATACTGTTTGGGTAAGCTAAAACATCACTGTAATCATACTCAAAACATTATTCAGCTTTCGAACTTGATAGAAAATAAAATTTGTACTTCGTGAACATAGGTGGGCGCCTCGCATCAATCAAAAGGAGTAGATTACGTGTTGGAGAGCATTCACAATATGAGGGAAGCATTGCCAGAGCTGTGGGACGACATAGAGAAGTCAGAAGAAGTTCCTTATTCTGGAAAGGCTGCTATTGAAACATATGTGCGAGCATAGCTCAGCATCCTCTTCGGAGCGAAAACACTACGCAGTCCTGTTTTTCCCTTCATATTCCCTCCAATGTATTGTAGAATTAAAATGTGAGGTGGGATCTCTGCATTCTTAACTTACAGTTCTGTTTACTAGACGTATATCTTTATAAGATAATACATTTTAAATTTTCTGACAATTTGTTTACACGATTTATCCTTCTTTTGCCTTATTGCTATACTTTAATATTCGTTTGGCCTTGCAGAAGGTAGGCAATACAACCAAATTTCAAATGTCGCCGTAGTTAGATATTTGAAATTCATTGTCTTTGTTTTTTTTTTTGAACTGTCTTCGTATCTTAATCTTGTCACGTGCAAACCTTGTCACCGATGATGTGTTTTTACATTTCGACACTCAAGTCAGTCATCGACTATAGATGTAAACAGCAGCGGATTATGTGTAAAATTTGTAGAAAGGGAAGACATTGGTGTTAAATCAGAATTTAATAACAATGATCATATCAACTTCCAATTAATCACAAGCACAAATAGCATTTGCTTGAATTATTCTCACACAGGCACCCAACATGAGAGAGCGTACATTACGCGACCTTTCCATCCTTGCAGCATCCAATCACTATCCTCATCTAGCAGAAAGCCGTCGTTGTAACCTTTCCTCACCTTCGCCTTTGCTTCTTTCACGATATCCTGGTTTAGTGGGAGCTGCCTAAAACCGGCCCTCTGATTGCGGACCTGCCATTTCTTGTATGTTTCAGGTCGTTCTATCCTTTCGGGTCCTTCACATGCTATGACGTTCATTACATCCCTCCTGAACTCTTCTCTCTCGTACAATAACCTGTCTTGATCTTCACGGGGAATTGTCCCGTCCAGCATGTCGAAAAGTGAAGAGTAATGGTATAGTGTCTCCTGGAATCTTGTCGTGAAAAATGAAGCATCATATGTCCCGTTAACGATTCCGTGGACGAAAAGGTCGGGATTAATCTTCCTGATCAAGTTCAAGACAGCATCTCTTGGGCTGTCGAGTCCTGCTGATTCATCGGGTACATGTCTTAGCCTGTACATACAATTCACCACCACCATTTCATCTCTTTCAATCTTGAGGTCCTCAAGACTAATAGTATCCCATTTCTTGGCAATGGCATTGTACTCGAATGGAACATTGAATCTTTTGCAATAATTCATTAGGCGGTGCCCTGTCTTCTCGACCCTCTCTGCTGGCCTGAATCCTGGCTGAGGAAAATCTATTCCTGTAATCCGAAGAAGTGGAGATCCACCCGGCCTCAGGGAGATGCCCTGGATTAGGCAAGGCCATTGAAAGCCATACAGAATACCGAAATCAATTATGTGAATTCTTGTAGCTTCCCTTGTTAATCTCCCTATGGATTTATTTGCAAACATGTTCGACATTCTTTTGAAGGGGCATGCTGCAACATATGTTTGATAAGCTTTTAGTAACTCTGCAGCTGGCATCCTCCTCGAAGTGAGAGCCGTATACAGTGCTGATCCAGTGCCAGCAACGCGTGCCTCAAGGGCGTTAGCAAAGCAATGTGCCAATCTTTCAGTTGCATTGCCATAAGGAGAAGAATACTGCCAAATCTGCTTCAGAAGTTCATTCACAGTTGCGGTATTATAATCTGCCATAGCTTGTGCACAGCGAGTTAGGAGGCTCCTAAGATCAATCACTTCTTTTATAGTGCCTGATATTTTACTGAATCGTGGCCTTCCTCGTTTTGACTCTGCTGGCTTTCTATACTGCTGCTTGTTTTTGCCTTCATTTTCTGATGATTCCTCACAGTGACAAGCTGGGGATTCATTGTAGAAACCAGGGTTCATCTTAGGACAGAGTAATGCCTTGTCGTATTTCTCACTTTGCTCTAACTCTTCATCATAGCTTGCCAATTGCTTACTGCTCCGCCCTTCTCCGCAATCACCATAATCTCGACCATGATTTTTCTTCCTCCCATCATCACCTTTGAAATCAAATCTGCCTTGATCAGGCATCAAGAATGACTCCACAAGGTTGTTCGTAGATTCATCATTCGAATGATCAACGATTGTTCGGGGAAGAGCATCTGATGGAGGCCTAATGAGATCAAGGGAGCCCGAAAAGTCTCTTTCGCAGAGTGCTTCGCAGAAGTACTTCTCAGTGGCCTGGAGAGCCGAGCAATCTGGGAACAACGAGTCATCCTCTTCCATAAGCATCTGATTGATATACTCGTAAACTCCATCAAAAAAGTCACCCGGAATAGGGGTATCGATAGGATTGCGGTGGCCCATCGAACGATCTGTGAGATGTGCTAATGCTTCAAGCCAATTTTGCAGAAGACTATAGGAATAGTAGAAAGGAATGGCAAGAACATTAGAAGAACAATTCAAGCATATATAAAAACAAATAAATTGTCCAATACTTTCGAAGAATCCTAGATGAGACCAAGAATCATAAAGCTTGATGTAGAGATAGGCACATAAGGGAAATATTAGTCAAGTTTGACGAAAAGTCAACTACACCAACCTTTAACACGTCATTCTTCAATCTGTTGGCTTTCTATTTTATATTGAGTAATGTTATTGACCCACTAGGGTTACAAACACAGTTTAGATAGCTCTAAATAATAAGTTAAATGAAATATGAAATTAAATGTAACATTACTCTTTTATATTAGAACCCATTTGACTGAAAATATTATTTTATTGAAAAATGTGTAGTTGAAAATGAATAGAAGAATGAGAATGAAAAAAATAATCTGGTTCAAACAGGAGCTGAATATTAAATTCCTTTGATAATAAGCTGGCAATCAAAGAGAAGAACTTTCAAATAAAATAGCATGAAAATCAATTCATATCTTTGATCCATTAATATATAATTGGATCAAAAGGTAGTAAGTGGTCAATTTCATCATACTGCATTATAATCTTGTTTATAGAGCAATAATTCAATTTCTTAATTAGTCCGAATCAAATAAATACACGTAACATGCTAAAACAAATTGATGGCTTTCAGAATTAAGACCATGTTTGATTGCACATCAATTTCATGGAAGATGGAAATTAAATTCTATTTTCCACTTTTTTGCATCTTTGATTGTCCAAATTTTCCATGAAATTGGTTTTCCATTTTCACCCACATACTCACATTTTCTTGATTTTTGAGGAAGAACTTTTCCCACCACTTCGGTGAGAAAAAATTTTCTATGCAATTTATTATTATTATTATTATTATTTTGGTAATTGAAACAAATTATATTCCTTTAATGGACATTTTTCATGAAAAACAAACTCAAACGAATACCAAAAGATCCAAATTTTCAATATTTTTCAGATGAAAAATTATAGTAATCAAACACAATTAATTGACGATTCCCAGTAAAAACAAGTTCTAAACTATTCAATTATCTGTAATTCATTTTCTTTCCACATAAATTTTATTCTTACAATCAAACGGACCCTCGATGAATAAGAGTTCATGCTACAAATGAATTTCCCAACTTTAAATGAAGAAACAAAAATCTTGTACCAGTCTCCTTTTTTAAAAATTTCTACCAGCAGAACACTTATTCTGTCAACAATTTACAAATGCCATCCCTCCTCGCAGGAAACAAATCACTGCGAGAACGATAACTATTACATAAACTACAGTATTTTTTGACACGACATTTTTACATAATAAGAATTATAATCACAAAAAATAATCAGATATTGCAGTAATATGCTGCTGCCAGTTTTGTACGGTGAAATTACTCAGAGAAGAAGGCAGGTCTCTGGTTGAGGTTTGATCAGTTGCTTGTTTTGCTGTTGGGACCAGAAAGCGTGTGCTGTCAAGACTCTATCAAGGAGCTCCTGAGGCACAGGTTCGCCTCGTCTTTGCTGAGGGGAGATTCTTGCTGTGTGCACCAACGTTTTCCACTTATCCTGAAAAAGAGCGATGTTACAATTGGAACTTGGAAGAAAATATAGTAGTAAGCAAATAGTAACCATTGGTTGATTGAAGATGACACTAAATTTAATGGAAGAAATGGGGAACTAGTGACTTTAGTTTCAAGAACTCTATTTTTGACCTCTACATAATCAGAAGGTTATGATTTTATGCAAGAGTAACGTTTTCTTACCTTCAAATCCACATATGTTCTATGTTTTGCATTATCGAAAGCTCTCAGCTTAACATCACGCCATCTGCAGAACAAAAGTATGTTATGCGAAGAGACCAAAATAAAAGAAAAGAAAGCAAAATTGTCAAAGCACATAATTTTAGCGTAATAGTATCGAGACAGGAATCTTAAAGCACAACTTCTGTCACGAAACTCTCAGAAAGTAATTTGTTTGTTAGAAAAAAAATCATATTGTTTCCTCATAATTCCATCATTAGGTCATCACACTCGCCGCTCATGTTTTTTGCACAATTCTGCAGTACGTTTTGATAGAACATACCTTCCCGTTCCAAGCTTCTCAACTGCCTGAACCAGTGCTTCCACTTCAGAAACGGTGAATGGTCTACGGATTCGGCGTTGTGCTGACTCACAATGCTTGGATTTCCTCATGGGAACTATAGCTAGTGCCTCTGCTTTCATTGGGGGAACAGAAACTAGTGCTTTTGAACCTGTTGTTTTTTCCAAAGACATATTGTGAGGAAAAGGAGCAGAATCATGATCACTTAAAATGAAATTCCATATTTTAGTTCCTGTAGGATTTGACAGAGTATCCAAATTACCCTGCGGATGAGCAATTTGACCTACATTGTGCGTAGGAGGATACCTGGTGGCAAAGCATAGTAAACTATCAGCAGCAAGAAAAGATACTTTAGTGGTTAATTTTGATTCTTCTGGAGGACTTCATCATCCATTGGACAACATAAGCAATAGTTGTGAAAATTCGTAGTTAAAGTGGTTGTCAGACCAGAAGGAAGACTCATATACCATGGTAGGCAGTATGACCAGCCAAAGAATGTAAATGCTTTTTGGACAATGAGAATACCTTGCTAGTGGTTGTGGGGTATCACAAGGACGTTCAAAACTAGGATCTTCTAGACACAAGGGAGGTTGAGTAGGAGTAGGCTCAAGGGTAAAACCCAGAGAATCCAACTTTCTGTTATCATGAGAAATCCCAGTCTGCAACAAAGTTTTGTTATCGTCTCTAATCTTCTTTCCCTGAAGAAGTAAACCAACACGTAGTCCACCACCAAGTATTTCTGTCATTGCTTCCATAACTGTCCTCTGCAGCAAAGCAGGTAATAATGCGTTATATTACTGAAATCTTGTGAATATGAACAATATTAACTGTGACGAACAGAAATTATTGTAGTGGTTAGAGATTCAGAATGTCAAGTTCATGTATAAGAGCACAAAGCAAGTCTTGGCAGTAGATGAAGTTGATCTCATGGACTTTTGGACACAATCTCCTCATTTCCCCAATTACATTTCTTAGATGTTAAAGTGAATTATTCTGATGAATCTTCCTTTGAAATTCTAACCCATAGGCCAACACATCATTTCTATATTTGAAACAGGGTTTAATAGAAAGTATGAGATTCCACATCATCAATCCAGAGAATCGTGACTTAATAGTCGCACAATGATTTTCCTCCAAACTACAAAGCCAGAATTAAAAGGCTAAAATTTTCAATAGAACTGCCAGAGTTGATATTCAAATACCTTGAGAGAACCAACAGTTGCAGATTCAGGAACCTCAATAAATAGCTCTGGAACCCTAAAAGACTTGATCTTTAGCTTCACTGAGTAAAAGGAAAGGTATCTCCCCATGAGAATTTTTTAAGTGTCAGACACTTTTCAAGTCATACTAGTAAAAATGAACTATTCCTTGAATTGTTCTCATACCATGGGAATTCCTTGACTGGAAGGAAGCATGTTCACCACTTAAAGAAGTTGGAGTCGTTGAAACTGCATTTGGTGTCAGATCAACAAAGCTGATGTCAATCATTTCTGAGCAAAATTCAAGTCATCTGCATATCAATTGAGTGTTTTTGTGCTTGCTGATGAAAAATTACCTCTGGGCAGAGATGGACCAGAACCTAATGCAGTGCCAGCGGAATCATTCTCAGGCACACTACATATATCATCACTGCTAATTCCTTCATCAGAATTAGACACCGAGCTGCAGTAAGAAAACTTCCGTTTTTTGAAAGGATAATCTCTTTGAGATCTCTGGCGCTTATAACTTTTATTCCTATTGAGGTAATTGCATCTTTCTGCATCTGAAGACATGAAAAAACCAACTGATTATGCCATACAGATTGCTTGACCATATCAACTCAAACGATAACCATGTAAACTAAAGAATCAATAACTCACGAGAATCGTAATCCTTCAAATTTGAAGTTGGTTTCAAATACATAGATGTCAACAACTTCCTAGTTCTGCAATCTCCAACATGTGGTGGTGGCCTAAAGGCCTTATTTGTCGAGCTTGGTTTTGTGCACCCAGAAGACTTTTCGTCATCATCTCTAGTAACTAACTTTAAAGCACCCTGCTTAACCGGGAAAGAACCACAAAGAATTTGTTCGCTGCAAAAAGGAAACTTTTGACTATCAGCTGAACTAACTAAAGCAGAAGGTTTTCTGTTCCAAGCCTCTGAATGCCGCAAATTGCATGTATCAGCCCGATTATTTATTGCCAAATTCCTATTATTCGGGGACTCAATCTTTATCTGTTTCTTAGTTTCACTCTCTAATCTACAAACAGAAGACTCAACATCTACATGAGGAAAAATTCCAAGTCGAAGCTTGCAATCATCATTGAGCATTGGTTCCGCAGAACAAACCTTTTCTGAGCTCTCAGAAGTTATTACAGATGAAGGCCTAGAACATGCATCATTCTGGCAATGTCCAAGTTCATTTGCATGAAAATTTGAATTAGGAGCTTGTGATACAATCTCCGTAAATAAAAAGTTTCTTTCACAGCTATCTTGTTCACAAGATTTTTCTTCCAAAGGCTTATTTTCATCATTTTCTCCCCTCCTATCAGAACCTTCCACAACTTCAGGTTGCTCCTTATCAGAAGAAGTATCCACAGATTTTGGAGAACAGTCACCCTCCAGCAGTAACTTGCCAGCTACAGTAGCCAATAAGTCAAATGCGCACATCTTCTGGACATAATCTTTCCTCCTAAATTCACACCTCCTCTAAACCGAATGACAATGAAACAAGTATAAATAGAGTTAGTTCTTCAGAACCACGTCAGAAAAGGAAAAAACAAAATTAATGGTGTTCCATTAGATCTAGGATTACCCTTGCTGATCTGGCAGCGCGTGGTGTGGGAGGTGCCTGA